TCCATGATTCAAACTTTAATTCCAATGTAGAATAGCAAAGGGATAATAAATTTCATGTAAGCTGCTAGGCAACGTAATAGAGTTCTGGACTTGGAGTCAGGAAGACTTGATTTCAAATCCAGGCCTCAGACGTTTACTAGCTGTATAACCTAGGGCAGGTTACTTAACCTTTGTCTGCCTCAGTTTCTTCATCTATAAAATGAAGGTAATAATAGCACCTTGTGAGGCTAAAATGAGATATTTTTAAACTGATTGGCAAACCTCATATAGTTCTTTAAATACTAACTAGTAGTATTGTATTCATAAGAGAGGGAGCGAGAGAATATGATTAAGAACATCGTAGGGGAAAATCTGAAATGGAGGGACTAGAAAGTTGAGCGAGACCTTGCTTTACAAGAAAAGGAGAAATGAAAGGGAAAGGAAAGGATGCCACTAAGGAACATTCTCACATGATTGGAGGCATATGTTTGCAGTAGCAGGCGGAGACTTTACGGTGGGCTTCCTCTGAATACAATTTTCACACTCTGACTACCTGCTTTGAGAATGGGTTGTACCTTCCTGAATAGCATCCTACCCAAGGAGAGGATGTATATCAGTCCTCAAGGGCAACTAGCACTCATAATGGTGTAGAGTGGCATAACACCAAAGGTAGAATAACGTGAATTTTTAGAATGGGAGATGGAGTGCATTAAGAAGAGGGGATAGGATTGGCCCCACTATTTGTGACGAGGAGTTACTCCTACCATATAATGGGCCTTCCTTCTGACATGGCTTTTCATACAAATGGATATTTCCAAGATTAAGGCTCAGCAGCACTCTCCCCTCCCCACTCCTCCAAAAAAAGAAAGGAAAATGGGCACATCTTGTACGATAGAAATTACATAGTTGTCGGATAGAAGAAGAAACTCAAACTTGCTCCTTTAGAAGCTTTATCCCCATGAAAGATGCAGAGAAAATTCGGAAGGAACAAGTCAAGGTGTAGCTTGTGAATCAGGAAATAAAATTTGGAATAGCCTGAGAGAGAAGAAAGATAATGAGGAGAAAGCAAAGAAAAACTCGGAGTTTAGTGGAACAAAGGAAAGTCTCTTAAAACAAGAAATTGGAGGGTAGGAGGAGAGATTTTTGGACCATACCTTTGACCAGATAGGGAAATAGAAGGGAGAAATAAACAAGAAACTATTGATTTAAATAAATTTCAAGAAATTAAGGTAGAGCAGGTAAATGAGAGTGTGGGAGTCACGGGGAAGGGAGACTGTGGGAAGAGACTAGACAAGGAATGACATACTAAGAAGAAGGAAAGGGGAAAGAGATAATAAAAAAAAATTAAGGTGCTATAAAAGAAGCTAATCAATCTATATTTTCTTAAATCCTAAAAGCAGTATAGAAGTATGAATAGTTTTTGGTACTTGTTATCAAAGGCCTTTTGATTTTAGGACTATAGCCCCAAGGTAGAATGGTTTGTATGGACAAATAATAGGATTCTCTTTTAAGTGGAGACTGGAGGGGATTTCTGCTCAAGTATGGATCTTAGGGGATGATCTCTGAAGGCCTTTTCCATCGCTGAGATTCTGTGAATTTTTTTTTTTTTTTGCTGTTGTTGATACGAAGACTAATCCCACAAGGGTTACAAAATAAACTGTCATGATCTGAAAGATTAAGTGTTTCTGGAAACTACCAAAAGTTCCAAACACTTTTGTACCAAAGTACCAAAAGCGTTTGGAACTTTTCGTAGTAGCTGGAGAACTGTGCCCAAGGCAAAGCATCCTTTCTTATTACTAAGTTCCTTAGCAACTTAGGAAATATGCATTAGGAAAAAATTATATGAAAGTGTCATAAGGACCAGTTAATGCACAGTGTACATACAGAACATTACTAATGATTTCTGTCTTTAAGGTGAGTTATAGAGACTAGACCTATGATTTTAGTGGAATGGTGAAGTCCCTACTAAAGAAAAGGCCTTCTGCCATTGTAGAATCTTCAGTGCCATTTATAGTCCTTACAGGTTGATTAGAAAAAGATTTGTCTGGGGCAGCTAGGTGGTGCAGTGGGTAGAGCACTGGCCCTGAAGTCAGGAGGACCAAAATTCAAATCCAGCCTCAGACACATAATACGCACTAGCTCTGTGACTTTGGGCAAGTCACTTAGCCCCAATTGCCTTATGAAAAAAAAAGAAAAAAAGATTTGTCAAAAACATCTGGCTGGAACCAGATTAAAATATAAGTGGGAAATGTTTAATAAAATAAATAAAAATAAAATTCAACATAGATAATGTTAATTTGTGGTTTTTCTAAATCAATATCTGGTCCACAAGCGTCTTCCTACTTTGAATTATATATCACCACTTAGAACATTGAGAGGTGAAGTCATTTGCCCTGAGTCACATAGCCCATATGTGGCAGAGGTAGAATGTTTATCTTTATGGCTATGTAAGTAATTATTACTGCCTTTAAAGGCGTTCTGTAAAATAATATGTATTTTAAAAGTAGGGATTTCCGTATCTGACATTTGAAGGGCATATTGTTAGTGAGTTTGAAATATTCCTTGGCTATTATTGGGACTTTTTTTTTAACAGGGTCCTCAAAGTCTTAGTGCAGTTTTAAGCTTTAATGGTTTATTTTCAAGATATTTTACTTTAAAATAACTTACTTTAAGTTATTAAAGCTTAAAACTGCACTGAGACTTTGGAGATACCCTGTATAAGTCCTTACCACTCCTGTACAGCTCCTGTTGCCTAGGAGACCAGCATATCCAAGTGGAGGATTCCCCCCCCCCACTTTTAAATTTTTATTGATATATTTACTTCTTACATTATAGTTGCCAATTATTCTCACTCTATGAGAGGTCTTTTGTAACAAATAAAACAATTAAGTAAATCTATTAATGTTGTAACTTTACCTAAAGGTAATGGCATGTAGTGTTCCCCATATATATCCTCTCGCAGTCTCTTTCTTTTTTAAAGTACAGAAATCTATTTTTCTCCCTCGCATCCTCTGCCTCATTTAAAAAAAAGGAAAAGAAATTCCTTGTAACAAATATTCATAGTCAAGCGAAATACATTCCCTCAAAGACTGTACACAAAAATAAATTCGTTTCGTTTCTCATCCTACTAGTCTGTCATCTCGCTCGTAGATAGCATGTTCCATCCTCGATACTTAAGATTCGTGAATGATCAGTGTATTGATCATAGTTCTTACAGCGATTCGTGAATGATCAGTGTATTGATCATAGCTCTTACAGCTTTCCAGATTGTTTGTTCTAACTGTGTTGTTCTCATGGGTGTTCTGGTTCTGCTCGTTTCATTCTTCCTCAAGTTTATAAAAACCTTCAAAACTGTTCGTTTTTATAATATTGATATTATAGTATTTGATTGGTGATGACATCAACCAGTGGTATGGAAGGAGTTTGTGGAGACATAAACATACCACCACAGGAGATAAAAATTTGCAACTAAGGCATGTAATTCTTTAAAAAAAAAAATTCTCCCTACCTAAGTCGGCATTTAGCATAAGTTAGAACATTCTGAACCCTGGAAGTAGTCAGGAGGAACATTTTTAGATGTTTTTATCTGATGCTCACAAATCCTTTCCTTCAAAACTCTTTTTTCTTTCTGGAGTAATTGTCTATTATCCTATGGAAAATGGGCGAAGGGGAACTTGGAAAACAAAATTCTTTGTAATCAATCATTGAGCCTTTGTTTTATGAGTCCTTTTCTTTTTCTCCTTGCCCCTCTCATACTTTTTCCTTTCCTTCATAAGCCTAAGAATTCCCAAAATAAATTTTCTTTCTTCCATGCTTCTATGATCAGTGGGTCTTAGATCTCATCAGTGTGGGTGCTCACTGCACCAGTGCAGAGCACAGTTTAATGACAGTGGATTTGGAGTGAGGAAGACCTTCATTCAGTCCAGCCTGGGTGATCCTGGACTAGATGAACACTTAACCTCTCAGCATTAGTTTCCTCATCTGTAAAATGAGGGAGTTAGACTCCATGGCCTCTCAGGTTCCTTCCAACTTTAAATCTGTGATTCTTTAATTAATGAAGTTCAAGGTGTACTAAAAGTCTTAGTACAGTTTCAAACTGTACTTAACTTTGAAACAGTTTCAAACTGTATTAAGATTTTTGGAACACTATACATTTGTGAAAAGAACTAAGGAAGGCCTGTAATACATTGAATGGTTACCATATAGACACAGAAACACATTAACAAGAATCACATATGATGGAAAGATGTAGAATCATAGATTTGGAGCTAAAAGGGATGGTAGAGTCCATGTAGTCCAGGGGTGGTGAACCTGCAGCATCTGGGCCACACATGGCCACTAGAAATTTCCTACTCCAACCCCTTCTTTTAACATGTTCCAGATCACATGGGTAGCAAGTTGGGAAACAACCCAGAGCTGGGCGTTGAATTATGGTCCACCTGTTTTCATCGGTCCTTCCATGAATGTAGACCAACATAAGTGTGTGTGGTTATGTTCTAGTGTTCGTATCTAGAGTGTGTCCTTAGCTCAGCTTCCTTATTACCAGTCCCAAAGAAACCAGTTTGTCTCTGCTCTGGCTTTTCAACCCCAAATTCCCTCTTATCCATTGCTTTCTAAGCTGTGATAGTGTTCAGATGCAATCTCAGTGTTACTTTAGAACCTCAGGCCAATTCCATTGGTTCCTACAGCTACTTGCTCTTGGAGCCTGGCTCTAATGCTTTAGATCCTTTGGGAATACAATTCTAGTTCCTGGGAGCTAGAACCCTAGAGCATGTCTCTGGGTGCCTTAAATAATTTTTTCTAATCTTGTTGAGCTTTTGAAGTTGTGGTCAGTGAGCTCATGTCAGACAGGAAGACTGTCTGACTGGCACTTCTCTCCTGGTAGGATTGCAAGGGAATTTTCAGAGCTGAGACTTTTTAAAAAAAAAATTTGCTAAAATGCCCATTCTTCCTCGTTTGTTTCTCATTTTATAAGTTTTTTGTCTGTTTTCTGGATTCCCTTCAGTGTTTTGATGCCTTACCAGTTTAAGGAACTGGATTGTGGTTCCATGTCTGCCTTGACCATGATGTGTCACTTGGACTTCCTTTTTTGTGTCACACTTTGTTAATCTGTAAAATAAGATGGTTGGATTAAATGTTCTCTGAAGTATTTTTTCACTCTATCTTTTTATGATTCTTATGAACAAATGTCTCTGTAAAATGTACATAGCTAGATGGTGTGTATATACACATATATATACACACAGAGATTTGTATCAATATCTTTGTACACACAGGCATATACATATGTACATATATACACATATATAGTGGGAGTTTATGTATATGTATATGTATATATCCTCAAACATCTTTTTCCTCATGGATTTTTGAAAATTTCTCCTTACTTTTGGAATCCTGTCAAACTTTTGTTATCTAGTCCCGTGTGTAATATTTTGTCTCCCTATGATTTTATAGCCCTTTAAAATTTGATGTCGCCTGGTACTAATAGCCATTTCTGATAGAAATCCAAGCGTACACATTATAATCTTGGGGGGAGATGCTTATATTACTGTAAAAGCCCTGATCCCCCAACTCATGACAAAACTAAAATCAGATTAAGCTTCCCCTGATGTCCCTTTTACATGCATTAAATGTAATTTTTCCTGACCTAAGACACTTGAGCTTTCTATTCTTCTGTATGTTTCTGTGTTAAAAGTTTTCAAAGCCAGCATTTGCTGTTCTGAGCTGACATATGAAACCAAATGTAATATTTGAAGATGGGATTGCAAACATCAGCAATTTCTATATTTCTTTCAATCACCACATAGAATGTCCCACCCCCACCCCCTTACAGACTCATTGGAATAATGGACAGCATCAGTATTTTCCCTTTTGGAATCTTAGTAATTTGAAGTGTGAAATGTTTTGAGGGTAGTGTCTGTTTGCTAAACTACATAGCAATTATAGACAGCTCTCATTGTAAGTCAAATTAACATGCAATTTCAAGCAAACTGAATTGATAGACTGAGGAGTTAGGGTTTGGGGTTTTGTTTTGTTCTGTTTTTTTAAAACTTGAAGCCTTCAAATTAAGAATTTTTTAGACTGGAGTACATTACTAAGCACTTGCTGGTGAAGCGAGATTATAATAACTCATATTTCTATGACACTTTAAGATTTCCAAAGTATTTTCCTTGTGCCAACCCTGCATTAGTGAAAGTTCAAGTATCCTCATTTTACAAATGGGGAAACTGAGGTACAAAGAGGTTGAGTGACTTGCTTTCATTGTCTTCTCTAATAGCTTCCCTTTCCCCAGCTGAAAATGTTCTTTCCTTTCCTACTTCTAATTATGCTAGAGCACTTTCCCTCTATCATTCCTTTACTCCATCACTTCACCACATTATACTGTTCTTATCTGTGTTCTTATCATAAAATCCATTCCCTTCTTCCCTTTTGCCTCTGAAAAAAAGTAATCTCTTTTAAAGGTAGGAATAACATTTTTCTTTTTCTTTCTCTATTCCCAGTGCCTCATACATTATGGGCATTTAATATATTTTTTTTTATTGAATGAATGAATCTGAAGGCAGCCTCCTATAGGAGACAGAAAGGGGGGGAAAAAACATTTATTAAGCTGTGCTAAACCTTATTTAATAGGATAGTAGCCAAACATTTTTTAAGCATAAGAACTTTATTCTGGGAGCTAGGGAAGATGCAGGCTTTAACTAAACCATGGTCCATGTCCTCATGGGGCATGTGGACTAGGACCAGGGGTAGAGGTCCATGTGTTCCACTCAAGAGCTTTCAGGTTTTGGTTGTCATTTCACCTTTCTATATAATAGTCCTGGTGTGATCCATCTCAAAGGTTGGTACAGTGATCAGATGAGTTTCCATCTAATGTATGTGAGTTGTTGAGACAGGTTGAACCTATTACAAAGGAAAAAGAGTTCCATTTTCCCTTGCTCCATTTTAATTGCTTGCTTACCATCTCAGTCCACTTGGAGTCTTTTCTCTGTTGCATGCATATTTAATAATGGCTGTTTGAATGACAGGATTTGGTTGACTAAAATTCATTTTATAGTTAGCTTTGTATCAGTACCTCTGCTCTACTGAGAGATCTTCACCTATTAAGATTGAGAGACAGTTCACTTAGTCATGAGAACATGCCATATTTGTAGGATTCTTTGAGTTTGTCTTTAAATGATAGTTTTATTTATTGGTCTGGGCTGGACCTGTGTTTCACCTGGTTAGTAGAAACTCTCTCCTTGGCTTTGGTAAGTAATTTACAGTAAAAAAAAAAATACACATTACCTCTCAATAATTGACAGCCTTAGTGTTCCAGAGGCAATGAGACATTAAAAGTGACTTGCTGAGGATCAGCTAGTCTCAACCCAGGGCTTTCTAGCCCTCTCTCCACTGCTTCTCTGTATAATTTACATTTTCAAATACCCTAATGGCTCTGCCATGTAATTGAAGAGGATTCCATGCCATATCGATAGCAACGCATCTAGGCCTACCCATCCTGAGGATCTTGGCCATGGCCTCTGGTAAGTTTACCACAAGGGGTCTACCTAACATACTAGGAGTCTTCTCTATTTTGATTTCACACTGGGATCCATGAAGTACATGGGCCATCTGCCAAACATATTCTGTCTTCTCATCACACAACCAGTCCATCTTCTTTTTTTTTTTCACATATTTCTTGTTACTGTTGTTCTTCAGTCATTTCAGTCATGTACGACTCCACGTGACCCCATTGGGGTTTTCTTGGCAGAGTTACTGGAGTGGTTTCTTATTTCCTTCTCCAGCTCATTTGACAGATGAGGAAACTGAGGCAAGCAAGGTTAGGTCACTTGCCCATAGTCACACAGTTAATAAGTGTCTGAGGGTGGATTTGAACTCGGGTCTTTCTGACTCTAGGCCCAGGGTTCTATCCCCTGCACTACCTAGCTGGCCTCTTTGCATATTTATTGGATGCCATTCTTTACACTGGTTGCTCCTCATAGTCTGTTATTTGTTATGGTCCTGTCCACACCCACCATAAGCCTCTCCTTTACTTTCCAAGCGCCACCTAATTTCATCATCGCCACTTATTTATATTGGGCGCTAGTGTAGAATTTGGCACGTAGGCATTTAATAGATACTTGTTGATTGATTGATTAAGCTGCTTCAATTCTACTTAGCTTTGTTTTCTGTGCAGTGGAATCTTGCATAGCAAGGTGCTTGCTTGGTAATGTGATTTTTACCAAGTTTAGGCTATGCTCCCTGCTTTAATGCGGTGCAAAGGCTCATTGTAGCAAGCATTTAATAGCATTTATTACTCTCTTTTGGTGGCCTCATCAGTTTCCATGGAATTAATTACCGTCTGTCTGTTAAATGACTCCTGGATCTATGTACCCAACCCTATCCTTTCTCCAGAGCCCAGCCCTACTGCCTAATGACTGTTTTGAATTGGATATGCCATAGACATCTTAAACTCAATATATTAAAAAACTCATTCTCTTTACCTCTAAACCCCACCCCTTCTTGAACTTCTCTACGCATGTCAAGGGCACTACTATCCTTCTAACCATCCAGGCTTTGAAACTCAGGGTCATCCTTGACTCTTCACTTTGTCATGAAGCACCTTCTGTGTGCCAGGCATTGTGTTAAGCTCTGGGGGTACAAAATTCAGCCCCTGCCTGATTCAAGGAACTTACAGTCTGATTGGGGAAGGCCACATTCAAAAGCTGAGGTGAGAGGAGAGAAGTTTGTTTCTACCTCCGCAGTGTCTTTCCCTTTGCCTTTACTACTCTCCTCATACAATCAACCATCCTACTTCAGGCCAGCATCTGTCTGGCCTGGACACTTGCAAAAGTCTCCTAAGTGGTTTCAGAAACCTTCACTTCAGTTGTCAGTTAGTTTTCTAAAGGACAAGTTTGACCTTACCGTCCTCCTTACTTAACATACGAGTAGCTCCCTATTATCTTTAGGGTTGTATAAAAACCTTCTGCTCAACATTTAGGATTAAATAAAAACCTAGCCCCAACCCACCTTTCCAACCTTATTAGTCATTACACTTTTCCCTCCCATCATGTTGGCCTTTTTGCTATTCCTCTTACTAGACACTCTTATTTCCCATCTATCTTTTTATATTGCTTGTCTCTTGGGCCTGGAATGCCCTCCCTTCCTATCTCTGCTTCTTGGAATCTTTGATATCCTTCTGTGTCCAGTTAGAGCTCTTTTTTTCTACTTGAGAGTATTCCCCACCCCCCACTCCCCAGCTGCTAGTGTCTTAACCTCCTAGGTTATCTCTTGTCTGCTTTGTTTGTGTTTTGTGTATATCTGTCTATAAATGCCTGTGTTGTCTCCCCTTTAGAATGGAGGCTCCTTTGGGACAAGGACTGTTTGACTTTAGAATTCGTGCTCTCTGGTATAGTGACTGAAACACAGGGGATACTTAATTAATGCTTGCAGAATGATTCATTCATTGATACGTGAATGTCAGAGAGCTGAGGCTAGGTGTTGGCCAGGTGTCTAACCTTTTAGGGTGCAAAATGCACTTGGTGGATACAAGGTATGCGTCTGGTTTTCAGCCATAATTTCATCAGCACGGATACTCCTTCCATGCCTCAGTAGAGGATTTTCATCAATTACTGGGACCAAAAAGACAAATTGTTAGTTTATGACCAACATTCTTATGATGGAGTTACCCAAACTTAACTAGAATGGTCCTTGGATAACAGTCAGTCCCTTAATAGGGCTCTACTTAAAAGCCTTTCCAGCTTGGTGGGACCAGAAAAAACCTGGGTTCTTTTTAAAGGTTCTGGCTGTGAAGAACCCACTATTACCTTCATGCCATAATGAGGCATCAGATGAAGACTTGAACATTAATTTTATAAATGTACATGATCTAATACCAGAAAAACTCTCCCGGCATGCTGCATAGTATTTACTTTGTGGTGTGGTGGATAGGACTGGAACTTGAATCAGAAAAACCTGAATTCAAATGAGACCTCTGATACTTGCTAGCCACGTGACTCTCAACGAGTCACTTAACCTCTGCCTGCCTCAGTTCCTTCTTCTGTAAGATAAACATAATAATAGCACCTACCTCCCAGGTTTGTTACAGATATGTAAATGAGATAATATTTGTATAGTACTTTGAAAACCTTAAAAGTGCTGTATAAATGTTCACATTGTTTTAAGTCAGATTTCCTGTGAATGTCCAAAGCCTGTGGTGAACAGAAATGGAAGATGTGAGGGGAACAGTGGGGAGGCAGAGATGGAATTTTCAAACTTGCCTCATCTGCACAAATGCTGCCTTGTCACTCTTTGGATGATATTTGTATTGCCTTCAGTTGTTGGTGCTGATTTTTGTTTAATTTTTTAAACTGTCTCATGTTTAAAAAGATTGTTAATCCTTACTCTGACTTCTTCATGAGAGAAGGCTGGTAACTTTAGTGTATGTGATTTGCCTGTGGTTTACTGAGTATTTGGAAAGTATGATTGTAATTGCCTAAATTATTTGAGTTTTGAAAATTAATGCGTGAAGAAAAAAAAGAAAAATTAATACATGAATTGAAAGTTTCCAAACAGATAAGAGCACACATATGCCAAATCGAAACCTGTTGTGTTTTTAAACAAAACAAACAAAAGGACCCAGTTAAGCTGGGAAATTTGCTGTTTAGAATAGAAACAAGTTGCTTTAGTGGTATAGCTGTAGTTAGGCATGTTTTGGGATAACACACGTCTCTGGTAAGCATTGATGTGTCCCTCTGAGGCCATACTGAAAGGCTTAAGTAATTCTGGAGATAGTGATGATAATGATGGTGACCTTGTGACTAATTGCATTTCTGTAGTTCTTTACAGTTTTGGTTACAACTAGGTGAAATAGGTAATCTTGGTTATGGAGGCAGCTAGGTGGTTCAGTGGCTAGAGCCCTGCGTGTGGAGTCAGGAAGGCCTAAGTTAATTTCTGGTGCCAGACACTAGCTGGGCAGGTCACTTAACCTCTGTCTGCCCCAGTTTCCTCAGCTATAAAATGGGGATGATAATAATAGCACCTACCCCCAGGGTTGTTTTGAGGATCAAGTGAGATGTTATTTGTAAAGCTCTTTGTAGACCTTGAAGTGCTTCATAAATATTCGCTATTATCATTATTATCATCATCGTTATCATTGTTATTATTCTCATCTTAAAGATTAGGAAACTAGATACTCCTAAAGGTTGGGAGTTACCTCTGTCATGGGCTAGATAAGTGACTGAGCCTCCACCTGAGGTCTTCTTCCTCCCCAGTCCATTTCTCTTTCCATTACCCCATATTGCCTGATCATCCCGTGTACAGTTCACTAAGAGATCTTAGTGCAGTTATTAAGCTATGGAAGCTTAAATACTGCACTAGGACTTTGGAGACATTCTGTATTTAACCAAAGAGTTTCACCCAAAAACATTTAATGTCACCATTGTGAAGTAGTTCATGCTGTTCATTGAGAGACAATTTTTATGTGCTTTTTGAGTGAAATTCTAAGTTATGTGTTGTGTGAAATTATGTAAGAAGTACAAGTTTCATGTTTTTTGTTTGTTTGTTTTTGCTTTTTTTGGTGAGAGAGTTGGGATTAAGTGACTTGTCCAGGGTCACTCAGCTAGTAAGTGTCAGGTATGTGAGGTCGGAATTCAGCTCAGGTCCTCCTGACTCCAAGGCCAGAGCTCTATCCATTGGGCCGCCCCAGCACAAGTTTTTAAGGATCAAAATGATAAAGTTAGAGATTTTTGAAAACATGGTACGTTGAGTCTTCCCTGGATATGGTTTCTTCCCATCACCACCTAAGCTACTTAATTTTTCTTTTTCATAACAGTTCTTATTTTCTTTACAAATGTTCAAGATAAATGGTAATCTTACTACAATAGTTTTTAAAATGGAGTGAATTCTTTGGCTTAAAGTACTTCAGGAAGAGCAAAGGTTATGTAATGTAACTTTTTTTTTCCCTCACTAATTCAGTAAATATTTACAAATGACCTTATCCGAATACCTTGGGTACATTGGGTCACTTGGAAGCATGCAGTTAATGCAGTGACCACCATGCAGGGCTGCTGCCAGGTTTCCTGTGTGTCTAAGAATTTTAGGGGGAAAAAATCCTTTTTCAAATTGCTCACACAAATTTCTCAGTCAGTAATTCATGTTGGACTTGAAAGCAAATCGCTGCGCTCTGATAGAGCAGTTGAGAAAATCTACATTTTTAGATTGGCCTCTGAAGATACAATTCTTAAGGGCACATTTCTGTGTATTAAAAAATAGATATTGGATTTTGACTTGGGCTTAGAGAGACTGCCTACATTCTTGTGTTTGTTAGGGAGGAGTAATTCCAGAGACTGTTGATTAAGGAATCAGAATTGTACTCTAAGCTGAAACTTTTATTCTCTTATGAACAAACTGAAGAAAACAAACTGATTAATTTTCTTTTGTAGTGAAATGGTACTGATGTCATGTGGCTGAAGGACTAACTCCTTTCATTTTAAGGAAGAAAGCAATTGCTAGGATGTTCTAGCTTATTTCTTTTTCCTGTTTTCTTTTCATTCTCATTTAACTTAACTCTCAAGGAGAATGCATTGGTCTTCAGAGTTGACAGTGAAATATCGTAAAGCCCCTTTGTATTTTCTTTTTGCTGGGTGAGGTATGAAGATTACAATAGTATTATTCTAACGATATAATATGGTAACAATAGCTATTCATTTTCCACAGTCAGTTTTAAATAACAAGATTGAACTAAATTCCCATGGAGTAATGCTGTCAAATACTCAACAAAAAAAGCTGATGCCTTTTAAAAATAAATGCTACTCTAACTACACATACTTCAGCCAGTTTACCTTTTTTCTTTCAATTCTTTTTGCAGAGTATTGGAAAAGGGTCCTTGTGGTGTATTGACCCAGAATATAGACAAAATCTCATACAGGCCTTGAAAAAGACACCCTATCACCCATATTCACATGTGTTTAATACACCTCCCACATCTCCTCAGGCATATCAAAGGTAAGAAAAACAAACTTTTTTTAAATCTTATAATTTGCTGTCTACTGTTTTTGCTTTTTCTTTTCTACTTAAAAACTATTACAATAGCAAAAATACTGTGGATCTTTAAAAAGTATAATTGCAGAGAAGCAAAACAGCTAGTAAAAGTTCAGTTGCTGGTCATATCTACTGTTGCCTTATTGAATAAATCTTACCCCTTTCATCTCTTCTGGGGTGGAGGCAGGTTTATCCAAATAGCATCCACATAATTGGTGAAGCAAATCTTTCCACATAGTAAAAGTCACTTGAAAAGAAATACCTTACAAAATTGGTTTGTCAGATTTTGTTAAGTTGAAAGAGCAGGACAGAGAGAAGAAAGTGAATTCAGCTTAATTTAGCCCGGCTGTAGTTTTCTCAGTTGTGAACTGCAAGACTTTATGCGATTGTTCTTAAATCCAGTCTCCATGTTAACCGTCGTCTTGAGAGAGAATTTTGTTGTGGTTACTCAGTGTATGTTTTTGTCTCTTCAAGGTGAATGGCAGAGAACAACGAAGGCTATTATTTTCTTTCTCATACACCTGTTTGTTACAGGACTAATATTAGATCAAGGAAGTAATTTTTTAAAAAAGATATAATTTGAGGGGAGAAACCCTCTGACTTTTTAAAGTACTGAATTAACATGTCTGAAAAACAAGGCAATTAAAAAAAACTTCACTGTACAAAAAGGTATTTGGGTTTGAAATGCCTTTTGGTCTCATGTGCCTGCTGAAATGTTTGTACCTAACTACACAATTAAGAGAAGTGGTCTTTTGATAGCTACTTTATGTCAGTCATGAACTGTGTAGATTAATAAGTCAATGTCAGTAGTTGATTTTTTTTTTTAATAATGCACTCGTTTACCAAAATCTTTCACAAATCTAATATTCTGCAAGAAGGGAGCACAAGGTGTGCTTTTCAAATAACATTAATGAAGTTCTTGGGCATCTCAGTTGAGAAGCATTCCATCACATGCCTAGACAATCAATCTTTAGCAAGAGACTGGGAAGAACAGCTGGGCTTTCGGGGAAGACTGCTGTACGTCTGCCCTTGCTAGACGATTAGCGTGATGGTAACCATAGTAACTGGAGCGTCTCCATAGCAACACATAGCTGAGACAGGTGCAGTTGCATCACAAGACTGTTTGTTGCCTGGCAAAAGGACAGGCCATTAGTACTCAGATATACGCTGTTGCCTTGGTAACAGATAACCCTACATAGCAACTACAGTTGGCTTGAAGGGTAAAAAAAATGTTGTACCTGCTTTTGTCTGTTTTCATAAAAATCAGCGGAAGCACACCTTATAGGAAATGACAAGTGAAGGTTATTGGAATGTTTTGGTTGACTCTGGATTGTAGGTGTATATCTTTCCTCTGGTTACCATTCTCTAGGTATCTCCCCCCCCCAACCCCCCGCTTTCTCTCCCCAGTTTACCCCTGAGAGGCGGTTACCATTCTGTCTGCTCCTAGAAAGTTATTAGGAACATAAGAATTGCCACACAGGGTTAGAGCCATGGTCCATTTAGCCTAGGATTCTGTTGCCAACAGCGGCCCCAAGGGGAACTCGGTAATTATTCAATAAATTGAAAGATTATGGTGCAGCTCTGGGATTGCAAGAGCAGAGCAGATATTTAGATGAGTCTCTCTTTAAGCTGGTATAAGCCTAATGGCTTTATTTGATCATTAATGTACTTGTAAACTCTGGAAATAGCACATAATGGGCTAAATTTTTTTAGGGAGCCATTGTTGTACTGGGCATGATATGAGCATAAATACTTGGATGAAGGAAAGTTTGTGTAATAAAAAAAATAAATTTTGAAAAATAACTTCTGAGTTACCTCTCACCTGAGCTAGTTGAGGGGATACTTTCTCTTTTTTCCTTTACCTTATTCCATCTTAAAAAACAAAAAAAGAACAAGAATCTCCCAGATGTGAAAGCTAAAGAGGATGTCCATGAAGGATCATGTTATTGAAGAAAGAGGCCAGTAGCCTCAGAATCAAAAGACCTGCATTCAAGTTCCAACTCTGGGAGTTACTAACCTTGTAATAGTGGTAGGTGATATAACCCCTCTGTTCTTTAGTTTGTTCTGCTCTAAAAAGGGGGTTCTAATATATTCCTTACCTCCCAGAGCTGTGAAGAAAGCACTTTGTATCACTTAGAAAGCATTTTATAAAACTGTATGGTTGTATCATCGGTGGCTCTAGATTTGATGTCAGAGAGCTTTGGTTCAGATGCTAGCTGTGATACGTTCTCTATTTGTGACTTGGAGCGAGTTTTAACCTCTTTGACCCTTAGTCCTCTCTTATGTTACATAGAGGTGTTTGGATTAATTGAGCTCTTCAGTCCCTTTCATTGCTAAAGCTATGATACTGTTAGTTTTGCAAACCTTAAAGCACCATATGATGTCAGTAATAATAATTTTTATCATTATTATCAGGCAGTCACGGTGTAGCAGATAGAGAGTTGGCCAAGAGCCAGGAAGATGGTGGTTCAGATCTTGCCTATGAAATCTTCTGTCTGTGTCACTTAATCTCTTAGTGTTCTAATCTGGATCACTCTTTTTACCAACAAATTGCAAAGAAAGTACTAACCTGCACTGATAGTTTTCTCATCTCATCCCTATATCATTGAAATCGCAGGTCCGATCCCTGTCCTCCAGAATCATCATCACCATCCATTATGTATCACCATTACCATCTACCATCACCATTACCACCATTATCCACCTCCATCTACCACCACCTGTACTTCTGTGGATCCTCAGATTCTAGACTCACTTTCAATCCCATATGCTTGGTGGGGCAGAAGATGGTCTCTGTTCCTTTAATTTCAGCTTTGAAAACCAGGAATTCTCTTTTTCTTTTCCTTCATTTCAGTATTTTAGCTCCTGCACATTGTGGTACATGGAATGTAGGGGATTTGACAAAGAGCATAAAAATAGTGGCTTAAAATTTTATGTGCTTCAGTTGTGAAGTTTAGAGCTCTCTTCTAAGCCACCGCAGAGTGTCCTGGTGGACTGTGTGTGTATCAAGTGGGTTATTCATTAAGCAGGGATGGAAAAGACCCTGTCAGATGATAGTCACTTGGGGAAACACCAGCATGATGTCCTTAACCAACTCATATCTCCCTTATAGCAGCTGTTGTGAGGATCCAGTAAAGTGCTTTGAGTTACTTGAAGATGGTAACTAGGAGGATGATGAAGAAAGTGATGCAGCTTGTGGTGCTGTTTTTGCTGCTACTTTGTAGGTGCATCTGGCAAATTGTGCTGGATATCCATGCAGCCACTGGTGGCCAAGCTCGTGGTAGGAAGAGAAGCACTATGAAAAACTTCCCTAGAAAAAGTTCTGGTCCATTATCTCCTCCTATCTCTTTGTATTCTCGCAGACGTAGGATATACTCCCTCTTCGTGTCTACCTCTTGAAAACCCAGTCTTCTTTCAAAGTTCAACTCTGGTACCATCTGCAGAAAGCCTTCCATGAGTCCCCTAGTTGTTAATGTTGTCTCTAACCTCAATTTTCTTTGTTCTTTACCAGAGGTTCTTAACTTTTTCTTGTGTCCCGGACTCCTTTGGCAGTTCTGGTGAAGTCTATGGACCCCTTCTTAGAATGATATTTTTAAATGCATAAAATAAGATACCCAAGATCACCAAGGAAAACAATTATATTGAAAAAAGAGTTATCAGAACATTAAAAACAAGTTCACAGACCCCAGGTTGAGAAGAACCTTTTATTTGAGCACATGTTGTGTTACCTCCTCCCCCAGTGGAATGTAAGTTCCTTGAGGGCAGGGACTGTTCTATTTATGTTTAAACATTTATGCTTAATAAATGTTTGTGGAATTTTTAGATCAGAAGGTGTTGCTACAAATGTGACCATAGTATTCCCATTCTGTTTTCTTCATACACTTTCTAGGGCACATGATACTGTGCTTGCTAATTTTGATAGCACGTGCTAATTTTTAAAAATGAAAATGTGATGCTAAGTGACATAAAGTCTTTTCTCAAATAAGGCATTTTGCTGTTAAAAATGTGAGTAATTATTCTTAGAAATTCAAGCAGACAGATTTTTAAAAATCTTGCACACCAAAATAATTATTGGTTAATTGAAAGCAAAATTACTATATCTTGTTGCCAGTGCTTGGCTTGTCTTAATATCTGTCTCTGTAATTGTAAAATACTTTTCAAGAAAATGATTACCTCAATGGGACTGACTCAGTTACTTTCTCATCACTGTTAAAAATAAATTTGGGAGGGGGAGGGAAGAGGTTGTCATCAGCTGCATCTTGTTTTAATTTCAAAACCATTAGTCTTCAGACTGCCCTTATTTATTCATTTTTTTAAAGTAATGCTGAAGATCATGTTGCAGCCTTCCAATGGCCTGATCTCCCCAACTCCAGCAGGTGAAGCCCCTGTCAGACTGCCTAAAGGAGCATGAATGTTTACCAAGAAGGGCATGGGGCTATGGAATGATGGAATCTCAGTCTGGTAAAGATCTGGAGAAACGAATGGTGCGCTGGTGATCTATCCAGAGGCCAAAGATCTCTTACCTTCCGAAGGTCTTATTTCCATTATTTTCTAGGTTATTTTGGTGCCAGTTGTTTTAAAATCGGTGGTTGTTTTTTTCCCCCATCTCCAAACATTTAGTGATGGGTTTAGGTCTCTAAAGTTATGCTTTTGACATTGCCTTTGTTGATTTCCTATACATATGACATCATTGCGCTAGTTTGTAACTTTCCTTAAGATTAAAATTGGGGTGTGTGTGTGTGTGTGTGTGTGTGTGTGTGTTTGTTTTACTTTACTGTGATACAAGTCTTTTGGTTTTTCAGTCTCAATGAGCTGAATAAATCCAGATGGCTAGAGAAGTTGCAGCATTGACTGTTACGATGCTGGTGAAATTGTTCTGTCTTAAGTTTGTAGTTGGATTCCTGCATGGCCATTGACATCTGGAAGGAATATCGTGTTTGCAGCCTTCTGTGACCTGTTGTATGGGAAGAGATGAAAGTAGAGGGTGGAATGTATTCTGACCCAAGGGCTCCAAATGAATTTCACCGAGTGGGTTTGCCAGTCTTATGCTATTTCAGGGATCATTCTTTATCACAAAATTCCTAGCAATATCCTCAACTTAATTTCATGTTACAGTCAGTGTAGTATGATGGAAAAACACTTGAAGACTTGCTAGTCAGAAGGCCTGGTTCATCTCACAGCGCTATCATTTTCCTTGTTATTTGATTCAGCCTCAGTTTCCTCCTCTGTAAAATGCTGATAATAATAGTTGTACTACCTGTCTTACATGGGTATTGGAAGTAAGGGTTAAATGAAATCATATACATGAAGTGTTTCCTAACAGTAAAGCATTTTCATACATTGTTGTTCGTAACTCTAAGTTACAGTAA